GTCACATTACTGTCACAGCAGTGATTCAACTAATGACCCAGTCATACCTCATACAAATGCCTCATGTCGCATCAGCCGAGCCGAAGACAAGCACTGCCAGCGGCGGCGTCAGCCTCGTCATCGTCTAATCACAGGAGATCGCTGACCGCTAGGACAGCACATGCCAAATCAGCTCAGGTAGTGGCTGGAGGACACAGTGGGATAGAAGCTGCCACTACCAAACCATCTAAAGATTGAGCAAAAAGGAAAATAGCTTATGCCAATGCAACAAATGCCAAAGAGGTTAATATTCTGAAGTTTGCTGTTGCTGTCAGGGTTGTCCATTAATTGTTTAGAGAACACCAATGGGTCAATAGGTACATCACAGCACCAGCCACACAAGCATCTCACCTGTAACTGTGCCAGCAAACCGGCCTTCTGACCAAGCAGTGAGCGCTCGTCACTCTTGTTCTAGTTTCCCCTGCTCATATGTCTTTGCGTCTCCACGAAGTTTGTATCTTGCAGCTGCCTTGACCTGAGGCAGGGTCATAACGTACACAGAGTCAAGTTGCTGCAATCACGAAGCTGTCCCATTGATGATGGATCAGGTCTCCTCATACAAATGCCTCATGTCGCATCAGCCGAGCCGAAGGCAAAGACTGCCAGCGGCGGCGTCAGCCTCGTCATCGTCTAATCACAGGAGATCACTGAACATTGGGAGAGCACGTGCCAAGTCAACTCAGACAGCGGCTGGAGGACACTGGACAGCTTCCTGATGCTCGAATACGAATGGCGATTCACTAGTGAAAATGCATGGGCCCGCATGAATAGCCACTTCAAAAATATGTGGTGACTGATAAGAGAAAAGCCTACAACAATATGGCACATGCCTTAAAGGTAGCCATTTTCCACTCCTTGCTTAGAGCATATCAATGGGGCAATAGGTTCATCATAGTGCCAGCCACACAAACATCTTACCTGTAACCAGGGGAGGAACTGGCCTTCTGACCAAGCAGTGAGCGCTCGTCACTCTTGTTCTAGTTTCCCCTGCTCATATGTCTTTGCGTCTCCACGAAGTTTGTATCCTGCAGCTGCCTTGACCTGAGGCAGGGTCATAACGTACACATGAGTCAAGTTGCTGCAATCACGAAGCTGTCCCATTGATGATGGATCAGGTCTCCTCATACAAATGCCTCATGTCGCATCAGCCGAGCCGAAGGCAAAGACTGCCAGCGGCGGCGTCAGCCTCGTCATCGTCTAATCACAGGAGATCACTGAACATTGGGAGAGCATGTGCCAAGTCAACTCAGACAGCGGCTGGAGGACACTGGACAGCTTCCTGATGCTCGAATACGAATGGCGATTCACTAGTGAAAATGCATGGGCCCGCATGAATAGCCACTTCAAAAATATGTGGTGACTGATAAGAGAAAAGCTTGCAACAATACGGCACATGCCTTAAAGGTAGCCATTTTCTATTCCTTGCTTAGAGCACATCAATGGGGCAATAGGTTCATCATAGCGCCAGCCACACAGACATCTTACCTGTAACCAGGGGAGGAACCGGCCTTCTGACCAAGCAGTGAGCGCTCGTCACTCTTGTTCTAGTTTCCCCTGCTCATATGTCTTTGCGTCTCAGCGAAGTTTGTATCCTGCAGCTGCCTTGACCTGAGGCAGGGTCCTAACGTACACATGAGTCACGTTGCTGCAATCACGAAGCTGTCCCATTGATGATGGATCAGGTCTCCTCATACAAATGCCTCATGTCGCATCAGCCGAGCCGAAGGCAAAGACTGCCAGCGGCGGCGTCAGCCTCGTCATCGTCTAATCACAGGAGATCACTGAACATTGGGAGAGCACGTGCCAAGTCAACTCAGACAGCAGCTGGAGGACACTGGACAGCTTCCTGATGCTCGAATACGAATGGCGATTCACTAGTGAAAATGCATGGGCCCGCATGAATAGCCACTCCAAAAATATGTGGTGACTGATATGAGAAAAGCCTACAACAATATGGCACATGCCTTAAAGGTAGCCATTTTCCATTCCTTGCTTAGAGCACATCAATGGGGCAATAGGTTCATCATAGCGCCAGCCACACAAACATCCTACCCGTAACCAGGGGAGGAACTGGCCTTCTGACCAAGCAGTGAGCGCTCGTCACTCTTGTTCTAGTTTCCCCTGCTCATATGTCTTTGCGTCTCCACGAAGTTTGTATCTTGCAGCTGCCTTGACCTGAGGCAGGGTCATGACGTACACAGAGTCAAGTTGCTGCAATCACGAAGCTGTCCCATTGATGATGGATCAGGTCTCCTCATACAAATGCCTCATGTCGCATCAGCCGAGCCGAAGGCAAAGACTGCCAGCGGCGGCGTCAGCCTCGTCATCGTCTAATCACAGGAGATCACTGAACATTGGGAGAGCACGTGCCAAGTCAACTCAGACAGCGGCTGGAGGACACTGGATAGCCTGTTGATGCTCAAATGCGAGCAGCGATTCAGAAGTGACAATGCATTGGCCCGTGGGAATTGACACTAAAAACGTGAAGTGAGTGACAAGAACAAAAGCTTGCACCAATATGGCAAATTCGTTAGAGGTAGCAGCTTCCCATTACTTGCTTAGGGCACATTAATGGGGCAATAAGCTCATAATAATGCCAACCACACAAACACCTCACCTGTAAACACGCCCACCAAGGCGGCCTTCTGATCCATCAGTGCGCATTTGTCACTCTTCCTGAAGTTTCCCCTACTCATATGTCTTTGCGTCTCCACGAAGTTTGTATCTTGTAGCTGCCTTGACCTGATGTGGGGTCACAACACACATCAGTCCAGTTACTGGGATCGCGAAGTTACCCCACTGGTGACGGGATCGAGTCTCCTCATACAAATGCCTCATGTCGCATCAGCCGAGCCGAAGGCAAATACTGCCAGCGGCGGCGTCAGCCTCGTCATCGTCTAATCACAGGAGTTCACTGAACATTGGGAGAGCACTTAACAAATGAACATGATCAGCAGCTAGGGGACGCTGACTATGTCCAGTCAACGATCATTGAACAGAAAAAATCGTCTCTTGAATGCGCATCACACGAAGGGACAATGAATAACGACTTCTCAATGACTATCAGTAGGTTATTTTGGAGAAATCTAGTTTGGTGTGTGCAAGAAAAGACTAAAAACTTGTGCCACAGACGATAAAAAGCCATCTTCGAACAGTGACGCTACCGGTTCATGTGCATTCGCTATTTCTAACCAAACTGCCCAACTTACGTTTCAATGACAGCAAACAGGCATTTTCACTTCGCGTCGATCACGCACAAATCTTCCTCACGTCTTCTCTGCAGACCGGACTCCTATTCATCTTCGCCAGCTGCATTGAACTGCAAGTCACATCAGCGAGCATTAGTGACAGCCCACTAGAACAGCGCGGCCTTACTACCGAGATGGCCAGGTCTCCTCATACAAATGCCTCATGTCGCATCAGCCGAGCCGAAGGCAAATACTGCCAGCGGCGGCGTCAGCCTCGTCATCGTCTAATCACAGGAGTCCCCCAGGCAGGGGGCCGAAAGCATCCCGGCGACTGGCCTTGGGCAGCCACCGAACCTAAACTCGTCAACCAGCCAAAATATGGGTTAGTTCAAAACATAGTCAACATCCGAAAGCCAGTTTTAGCCACCATCATCACCAAAAGTCACCGTCTGAAAAAGAGCCATCGAGTTGACACATCACGCGTCTTATCAGCCTGTGACAATGTCCACTGACCTGAGGTCGGGGTGTACGGCGAATTGATCGGCGGAGCGGGTGGCGCAGCGGACGGCCGCGCCAGCCAAGGCGGCCCGCTCGGCCCACACCAGGCAGGCGCGACGCCTCAGGCGAGCGCCCAGAGCGGCCGGTGCCAGGCGGGACGTCACCATGGTGTGTTCTAGATAGTTTTGCTGTGCTGCATACCGCCTGGAGGCGCGACCGTGCGCTCTCCACCCGCAGCTCGGCCCAGCAGCCAGTGCCACGACCTACATCGTGCCGAGCGAGACGCGTACCGACGTCCGACTGCTGCCTCGCTGATGAACGAGTGGTTGAGCTCCACTCATGCATTGAGCGAACTACATCTTTAGCTTGGTGTACATTAGAAAATGAAAACAGGAAGCTTACACTAAAATGAGCTGCAAGGATGTCTGCCAAAGGCTGCATTTCAAGTTATGTCCTACGCTGCTGCTTGCCAGGGGCGTGAAGGCTATACCTGTCATAATGGCGTACCTTCATACAACCATCACATGCGTCACATGAATGCTTCAGATTTTTGTCTTGACCACACCAGACCTTGACAAAAGGCAGTGCAACTGACCAAATAGATGTATTTCTTTATCAAACTTCGGCCAGATTCCGTGACTGAGAGGCAGGCGCCCATGTCAAATATGACCATCTCGGGAGCAGGCAAAACAAGCAGTGTCTCCGTGAGCAGCCCAAATAAAATTTCTCCGAAGACGCATCCTTGTTGGTCAGAAAACACAGGACATCACAGGCCTACTTAAAGATCTTGCCCTGGTTGACCTTCCGACCCTTAGAGTCGGCACCTTCCCACTTGAAGTAGTCGTTCACCATCTTTTTGGTCTCTTCTGAGTTCGCGTCCAGCTTTTTCCAGCTGTACGACTCGAAGTCGATCTGCCAGTCGGGACTCAGCTGTGGAATGGTACGACACAGTTCAGCGTCAGTCCCGGACCGCGGCTAACCCCATGTGTCATACACACCAGCAAACAGAACGTCATAATTCAGCCCACAATTTGTTCACGACAAAGACGCACGGAAGCCAACACTTCAGCATGGCAAACGTAGCGCTCACTAACAAGGCAGTACACACGACCATGGTACATCACGAGATCCTTATCCCCAAATCGACATCCTCCCGCTTCTGTGGCCTGACTTGGCTGGGGTTGCCGCCGCCAAACGAATAAACCTTTACCGGACCTAAGCCTCGAGACACCACGAGTAATCCGCTCCTGTACCCTGCTCGGCGACCTGACCCACGTCAGAGGAAGGAGACTGGAGTCACTTCCAGACTCAAATGCAGCGCACGTAGACGGCGTGCCCAGAGATCAATGGCCAGACATGTGCCTGGTCCCCGTAGAGCGTGAGTGTTCATAGTGTGTGATCCCATGTGTACCGTTCTGGTCCTGAAAGATTCTGGAATCTGTTTGCAGCCTCACGGGCGTAACCGCAAATATCTTCAACTCACTACCGAGCAGTTGGTTGGCTGAGCGTTGGACCGATCCCGAGTCAGGGAGCCAACGACCTGGGCGTCCGTGTGTCCACCGTGAGAGGCTGGCTGTCCGGCGACTAAGCCAGCCATCACCGGGCACAGCACCGGTGGCAGGAGTGCGGACACGGCGTGGCCACAACCGTCCTGTCCGAGTCCGTCCACGAGAGGCTGGTTGTCCGGCGACTAAGCCAGCCATCACCGGGCACAGCACCGGTGGCAGGAGTGCGGACACAGCGTGGCCCCAACCGTCCTGTCCGAGTCCGTCCACGAGAGAGGCTGGTTGCCCCGCGACTAAGCCAGCCATCACCGGGCACAGCACCGGTGGCAGGAGTGCGGACACAGCGTGGCCACAACCGTCCTGTCCGAGTCCGTCCATAAAGGGGTTGGCTCACGACAAAACTAGTCCCAAGCTGCCTGCTGTGGATATCCGGTCCACAAGATTGCGTGCGATGGTAAATGGCCAGGTCAAAGCGCCTGATGTCGAAGCCACCACTCCACCCAATGTTGCCCTAATGTTACGGTTGTCAAGGCCTCCAACCAGCCGACCATTGAGAAGCACATTTGGGGAGATAAAATTGTCGGGCCCCAGCTCGGTCTCAAACATTAACAGAAGCGAAGTCCCCGTCTCCAGCCACGACTGAAGAAGTTACGTGAGCGCAAGAGGCTGACATTGGTCAAGGTGCCATAGAACTGAGCCACCAGGGACTGGAGAAGCGTTCTCTTCACCGACGAGACGTGTATCGAGCTTTCACCCGCCCCGCCGACAGAGCGATCGTGTCTGGCCGAGCCGCAGATCTGGTGTCCCTATCAGAGGGAGTGTCGAGCAGCAGCTGCAGGTCCTGGTATGGGAGCCGCTGCACTACCGCGGGTGGCCTGGCAGCACATCACCCCCCCCCCCCCCCTCCCCCCCTCACGGCGTTTTAAGGTTCTCAGGACGACGGCGACGACTGCCACGCAGCGCAGAGGGAAGTGGGTGCCATGCAAGGTCAACTCACCGCAAGGTGACCAGCCATCTTCCGATAGAACGGCGCTCCAGCTCATCGAGCCAACTAAATGCAAAAGTGGTGGCGGACCGACGTTCCCCAAGCTTCGTATGAAGAACGGATGGCCAAATGCCAGCTCAGGTCTGAACCCAATAAAAAACGAAAAACAAACTGCGAGATTGTCCACTACATGAACGAGACGACTTCAGTGACGTCGGACGACATGCTAACCAGAAGCCACTGGGCACCCTGATCCACCATCAGCTTAGCGGTGCTCGCCAACTTGGTATACAGCATGCTGTATCATATGACAGCTCACGTTCAATGTAGGGGAGCTTACATATGCAAATCAGCCGTGCACTTGTGCTTTAAATATTAATCACACCAAAAGAAGAGGGCATCAATGTCAGGACACCCTGAACCACCTCGGGGGGTTTCGTTGAAAATATCAGGGGTTTTCTTACCTCGAAGGCAAGGTCGTGACCCCTCCACACCCAGATGCCTGAGATGGAGGAGTTGTTGTTCTCGCCGAACACGACCACAGAGGCGAAGGCATTCTTGCGCAGCTTCTCTAGCCGCTGGAACATCCCTAGAAGGTTCCACACGTTACTATGTGACTCACTTCTCTGACTACCTCCGCCGTGGCCGACGGCCTTATGACACGTGGAGGACATACTGACAATACCCAGTCATACATGGCAACACAGCCCCAAATTGGTGAATAAATAATGCATTTCCTTGGCTAACATAACAGACATGAATACCTTAACCATATGAATACTTATTTTGCTTTGAGTGTACACAAACTGATGGCAAGTACTGACACAGTTCTGTCATACAACAGAACATGTAATGCCTGGATGCGCCAATTACCATCTATGTGAGGCAACATGCTTCAATAGCACAGTAATTTTCAACCCAAATCCTTAAATCATATCCTGGTGCACATAACACATCTTGCAGGTTTATTCCACTGTTTAAAATGTTGCAAAAACATTTTAATTACTGGCCTCAATGTGAATGACTGCCCTACAATCATGTAAATGCTAAATATCTGGCGAGCAATAATTACAATCAGGTCATCCCTACCTCCCACGAGGTTGCACGACATGAAGATCTGTCCCAGCTCATCTGAGTACTTGTATTCAGAGAACCAGATTGAGAAGTTCTCCTTATCAAACTTCTCCCAGAAGTAGGGGACTGACTTGTCCTCGTCGTTGTTGGAGTAGAAACGCTTAAAGTCATCCATATCCCAGGAGCTGTTGGCCAACGATGGCAAATGTCAACACCATGATCAAATGACAGCAACCATTGGCATGTTTGAGGACCCCTCAGACAAATGCCTCACCTCACATCACACCGGCCCAACGCGGAGACCGCGAGAGCCCGCGTTGGCCTCGTCACCGCCTGGTCATAGGGAACAACACAGAGCACAGAAGAAAAAGATGCAGTGAGCAGCATCACTTGATTTACAAGATGTACAGCTTTGAGGCAAGGCCAATTTCATTACAGGGTGCTTGCCACAAAATCATGCCAGTTACCTCTTTGGCATGCCAGCAAACGGATCCTTGGACTTGGGTTCGGCTGCCATCACCTCTTCTGCAGGATCTGCCTCCTCTTGTGGCTTCTTCTCCTCCTTGGCCTTCTTCTTGTCCTCCTTGGGCTTCTTCTCCTCCTTCTTCTTGTCCTTCTTGCCACCAGTGCCACCCTGCACCGGCTGGGGATCGGCGGTCTTCACACACAGCTTGACCTCGCCCACGATGGTCTTCACCTGAGGCCAGGTCACATTGGCAGGCGTCAGTCACGTTGCCACTTTTACAACAAATCCACTAATGAGAGTGGAGTCCCCTCATACAAATGCCTCATGTGGCATCAGCCGAACCAAAGACAAATACTGCCAGTAGCCTGCGTCAGCCTCGTCATCATCTAATCACAGGAGTCAAATGTGCTGACAAGAGCAGTGGAATAAGAGACCAGTTCTCACTTATAATGTGCAGTTTGCAAAGGTTTCCCCTAAACCAGCTGCTTATCAAGGTGACAGCCATTAACTTATTTCAATGGATATGGCCAGAATGATTACCAAGCCATGGCACTCAGCCTGTGGCTGGTTCACGATGGTGTTGAACCAGCGGGTGACGTTGCCGTAAGGCTTCCTGAACTCAGGATCCATGGCGAGCTGGTAGGCGGACAGGAGGGTGCAGCACACGGCCACGTCGGCCAGCGTGACCCGCTCGCCCACCAGGTACGTGCACGTCAACAGGTGAGCATTCAGGGCGGCCATGGCGCGGCGCAACTCCTCCTTGGCACGCTCCGTCGTCTGCTTGTTGTGCTGGATGATACCCTGGGACACACAGGCGCATCAGCAAAGCACTGAAACACAGAGCCAAATACAGACCAGTCAGGCAGGTGGAAAAGGTCGAGACAACCGGCGGTATCCGCGCCTTCAATGAACTGGCGCAATCTAGTCAAAACTGAGTGCATCCTGTACATGCAAAAGAACCCATGACCCGAACAGAACACGCAATGTATTGGAATTAACTGCATGGACTTGGAATGTAAAAGTCATAAAACTGGTAAGAAATAGACATGTTTTAAACTGCGCAAACACCAAAGAACAACACAATCAAGAAACGGGTTTGGCCATGACCCACAACAGCAGATTGGGATGAGGTGGGGCAATGGGGGATGGCCATTAAGGTTTAGGAGCAGACAGGCTAAAGACCAATTTTAACAAATTAAAACTGGGGGGGCTAGCATCCAATTTGGCCAATATGGGGATACTTGTCTGCAGACTCTCTTCCTCATCCCTGCCCAATTACACTGGCAGGGTGCCACCACCCACACACATGCAGTCCTCACCTGCATGGGGAACGTCCAGGCACAGACAGCCGGCAGCAGCTCGGAGTCAGCGAAGCCCATCCACTGCACCACCTGGGCGCGCTCAATGTCCGTCTTGCCGCGCAGCTGCTCGTTGGCCACGTACCACGCGATCGCATTGCTCTCGGCGATGCACGCACCGTCCGACGACTCAAACGCTGGCACCTGGCGGATGGGGCCACCCATTTGAGGATGCAGTGTCTTCATCTTTAATGTATGTCCCAATCAAAGCTGAATAAAAATTTCAGAGGGATCCATCATGTGCCATGAACAATCTGAGCTGAACAATGTGAGTCAGCATTAGAAACACTGGCAGCACCAAGGCAGTTCACCATGACATAAAATTTAGCTATGGGCCACAAAGCACATCTAAATCATGATGGTCTGCACATCCTTCCCTGACCTGACCTCAGCTGGGCTTGATCAGCCACTACAACCAACCAAAGGTCACACAGGGACACTTGCTCTGTTAACCAAATGAGCTTCTGGAGCAAAAAAACATTACACTGGTGAACATATAAGGTGTTGTTACACACTGCCACCCTCACAGAACATCACATCACATTTAACAGATGAAGCTCACCTTGCCCATAGGGAATTTCTTCAGGAAGGCATCAGTCTTGTTGGTTTCACCAAAGACAAAGTCCTTGGCAACTTCCACTTTGGCGCCCGAGTACTGGGCAGCAGCCAGTACCTTATAGGCACGGAAGTTGTTGGGATACGTGTAAAGCTTCTGAAAAGCAACCAAACATCAATTCAGTTCCATGATACAGGGGGCACAAGACCCTTAGAAAACAAAGACAGGGGGAGGGGGAGGGCTGAGCCCCACTATGGGAAAGCAGCAATTAGTTCAAGTTCAGCAATTGGCTTCAAAAAGTTCAGCAAATAGTTCAGCAATTAGTTCAAAGAGTGTCAATTTGAAAGAAATAAGCAACGCCTTTCACTCATGCCACCCTTCCTCACCTAAACACACCAGTTATTCTATTGCTGAACAAAGTGGCTAATGGCCAATGGGGTCAGTCTCTCACATCACTGGCCATGGAAATCAAGAAACACAAACTGGCCAGCGATGAAGCTGGAATCAACAATTTTATCAGTTCAGACCCCTACTTCACTCTAAGTTTGAACCCTTTCCTATCTGTACTTTTCAAGTGTTTTGCCGCCACATAAAAACCAGGATTTTCCATCCCATAATCTCTTCCTATAATTATTTTTTATTGTGTCTAGCTAACCACAATGGTTATCCATGCCCATCTTTACTGGGTCATTGATCAATTACACATAACATACAAATGAGGTGTGGGTGGTCAACTAACAGTATTTTCTCAGAATGCAATACTTTATGAACCTACTCACTGCTTATTTAACCTGTAACCACATAGGGATTTGAATATACCCATGGTTTTGAAAATTTTGAACCATGCACAGTTCATCCACCCAGTTTCCAGTGCTCAAGAGGCCATCAATTTTCACATGCTGGAGCAATTTTATGGAATAATGTGAGGTCAGTGAATCATGATATTATCAGTAGACATGCACCACTAATTTTGCATACAGTTACTAACTGCCTTATGCCTTGAGCTGCTTTGATGCACTGAACAGATGTGCCAGCCAGCCAGCCAGTAATTTGTCACACCAAACCACCATCACGTGAAGAGGTCTGCTATTTGCATTATGTCCTGTTAGTTCATGTGGAATCAACATGTAATGGCAGAACCCAATCATTTATCCTTCAATTTGTGATAACGAAATCAAAATTGGTAATACACTTCCAACCAATTCAAGGACTGTCTGTTCATTCAATAATCTGTCAGAGCAGGATGAACAGCTTTTGGGATTTTTCAGTGCACCTAATCCCAATGTCACCCAGCAGTGCCTCAGGATATGGCCATCTGGGTCATGGGGACATACATATTTTGTTATGCTGTTTCAATGCTATCTTGAGGTTTACTGTCTCTTGATCCTTGCTAAAGCTTGGCCAATTAGCATCTAACCAGGCAGCAATCAACCCAGCACCTGACATATACCTCATATACCTCAGGCCTGACACATGGGCAGGGCAGGTCAGATATTGGTGTTCTGGGTCAGATTAGCACCAATGAATCTAGCACAGAGGTTGCCAGAGAACCAGGATTCTCGCAGCAGCACAACTCAATCTTTACATCCTGGACATGTTGCCAAAGGCATTTTTGAATACTGATCAACCATAACAGTGATGCTTGACTGGTGGGGTATTTTACTGCTGTGCAATGATCATAATTGAGCAAACTGGCAACGTGTATGTGGGTATCTGATTGTATGGCATAAAAAGATAGGTGCAATCCTACTTCAAACATGCATTGTTCAGCCAGTGTTACACAATGCACATTATATCCTGAGTGACTGATGACCCAGTCACTGATGAGTGGATGTTGACTCACCAAAAAAATTATAAAAATTCCCTTTGGTACCAGGTCATCTCTCTCCCAGTGATGCCCAATGAGTTGAAGAACTGCCATGTAGGACTAGGTAATGGATGGGTAATTCAGAAATATTCTGTGCCACTCATGTGTAGTTTTTCCTCGGAAACTTTACGAGGAGTCACGCTGAATTATCATAGTAACATATGTAACCCCAAAAATTATCACATGGTCACATCCACAGCCTGACAAAATCTATTCAACGTACAACTAAGGTCCCAGCTACAATGTCTCATTTTCTTTTCAAATTCACATGGCAAAAGTTCACTTCTAACCTTACGTGTGACTGATCTCATATGTGTAAAACCGAGAACTGTTAGATATACCAAACGTCATGCAAGGCGTCGCCCTGCTGATCCATTATGCTGATGAACACGAGCAGTAAGTACTTGACGTTAGGTAAACAACTTAAAACACACAAATAGAATTAGTCCACGCATTTATGCACGATGTCAATGGTGTAATATCATTAACTGCTCACCCCTGAAACCATGGTCGGCCGCTCGCCTCCGTGTCGCCACGAAAAAGGCCGACGAGCGGAAGTTTTCCTCAATAGAGACGTAAGTATGACCCTAAGGTAATGATGCTATTTCAGCTAAATGGTTATGATTTGGTTTTTAGAATGACACTTTAACTCCATATTTTGACCAACATACATATCACAAGTCTGTATTCTGGGTTTTGGTCGGTGTTCAACTTTGATCTCCTCTATCCTCGGCCTTTTCCGGAGTGATCGCCGAGCAGTCGGTGAGGGTATAAAACGTTGTTATCGTATTAATTTGCTATACATTCATTACCTCACCAATTGCAAGGGTGAAAGAAATATTACGTTCTTTTCAATGCCTGTATGCAATCTGTTGTGCTGATGGCGTCCTAAGCGTACTCCGACTTTTCAGTGATTTTGGGCACCTTCAGTAACTCAAATACATCAGTCCATTCGCTCAGCGGATGTTCTGTCATACCGCTTGTGTTTTGGGGCATGACGCACTGCCATTGATTCTTTTGGCATCTGTGGTGGGGCGAAATTGCATTTTACATGTCAGGTTTTCTGAATTGTGCAAGGAACATTGCGGGTGTTAGTTGGCAAGATGTGGTATGATGCATTTCCCAGGATGCTATAAACTTGATTTGTTGTTAGTTGATATATGTCTGCTTGTTTTATTTTCCCTCATTCCAGCTTGTAGCAGCTATTTTTTAGCTGGAATGATCAAGGAACCAAGTGTGCCTGCTGTGCAGAACCATTATGATAATTCTTTGAATTATGGACTGTGTGTTACTATTTGTGGCAAAAATGCATCAAAACCAGAGTCTTGGGATTTATTGGGTATATGATCAAATAAGATTGTGTAGATGCTGTCATGATGCAAGGCATTCAGCATTGCATGCTAGTTTTGCAGTCTGTTTCATGTACTTTTATTTGTAACAAATATACTATTCAAGGGTTGGGGAAATGAAACACAAGTATGGCTCATCAGTACAGTTATACCCATTTATTTTTCCATTGCCCACCAAGACATTTAGCATTGTGCAGTCAAAGACATGATTCAGATGTAAGTGAGGCAGGACATAGCCGTAGGTGTACAGGTTCCGTGGAGCCTTGTTTATGCTTGGTGGCTTCAAGTGAGCTCGGTTTTGGATGACATCTGAAAGCCTCGGAGATGGAAATATGGATTTGGCATGCACCATTAGACAATATCAGGCAGGAGTGAAAAGTTGACAAATATCAGGAAAAGGAGTGAAACATTCCTCCTCATAGGGTGTTGTGTCACACCCAATGTCATCAATTCCAGGATGCTGATTAAAGGCCTTAATTTGACCCTTTTCCAGTATTTCTGGTGTAGGGTTCTGTAAATTGACTGAATGGAATACACCCAGGTGATGCAAATCATACAATATTGGTGTATTGGTAGATGTGCCAACTGCCATGTACTTATAAATACTTTCAACCATCAAGCTGCTTCTCTGCCATTCATAAGCAGTGCAAACCTTTTTCCTTGCATTCAGTATCCACCTAGGTTATGGCAGCTGCATTAGTTGTGCAGCTGTCAGTTCATGTATCTTGAAATATGATGCTAGTGAGACCACAGACACCTTCAGGTGATTGTGGCGTGGCATCACTAAAGCTTTGATACTCTAGTCTCAAGCAACTAGACTTATGACTGAAAGTCTGTCTGAAATAGCATTGGCATTTGTGGTCTTGACCACCAATTATTGTCCAGCATTGGATTAATGTTATGGTTTGCTGAATTGTTTTCAATTGAGAAGAATTGAACAGGAATACTTTTTGGCAAGCCCACAGGTGACATTGGGAAGCAACTCAAACTACTGGAAATAGTGTGATATGCCTATTGCTGCTTCATGTGCCTTGGACATAGTCTGTCAAGAGAGCCAACAATAAAGAACTCATCTGCATGGCAGATAGGATCATCCTTTTTATCCATTGTCCTGGCAAGGCTCTGATGGATTCTGGTGTGTGTATCCCATTTTGAAGCCAAAAAGTAAAGGTATTGAAGGTAATTGCTGTAGAAAGATTCATTATTAGTGATAACCTTCCCAGGTGCTGTGCGAGGAGCCTTGGTTCTCATCCAAGTTGCACAATGATGTACTTAAGGAAATTGATTCATTGTTTTCCATTTCAGGCACCATGCAGATTTTTGTTAAAACCCTCACTGGGAAGACAATAACTTTGGAGGTTGAGCCTTCAGATACAATCGAGAATGTGAAGGCTAAGATTCAGGATAAGGAGGGTATCCCTCCTGATCAGCAGAGACTGATCTTTGCTGGCAAGCAACTGGAAGATGGCCGTACTCTGTCAGATTACAACATCCAGAAAGGTAAGACCTAGCTTGCTGGAATGTTTGCGGTCAGCACCTGCTTGCTTTGTGATTGACAAGGCTGTCTTATTAGTGCAGACATTGTGTTGCATGTATATAGCATCTACCCATCTGACTAGATGACAGTGCAGGACACTGTATGGCACACAGTGCATTTGAGACTAAACATACAGGGGTGTAACCCATGGAAGGTGTATTCTGCTTGAATGGTTTTCACTAATTAGTAAATGACTAGCCTTTGGTCAGAAATGAATTGAGTAAGGTGGCTGCAGAGTCATGAGTGATCTGATGTCTGGAGCCAGATTTGGGGTCATATGATTGTCCCCACAGGGAGATAGTTCATTAAGATTATCTCCACAGCTTTCAATATGGGTTGAGGCTTTCCAGGTCTATCATTGCATCGAAGAAACTACCATGTACTGTTATAGCATTTGCATCATGCCTTTTATGTATATGTTGACCTCAACTGACTAGGAATGACACACTGGGAGGTGACCAGATTTTTTTCCCTTGTGATCAGCTTTTACCATTCAGGCTGATGAGTCAGGGCAGTGTTCCTCCCTGCGCCGTTGCCCCTCGCTCGTCCCAACGGCCGGCGCGGGCCGCTACTCCCTCCGCCGGGGACTTGATTGTGTGGTCGTCCGCAGAGTCGACACTTCATCTGGTGCTCCGGCTGCGCGGCGGCGTCATCGAACCCACGCTCCGCCTGCTGGCCCAGAAGTACAACTGCGACAAGATGATCTGCCGCAAGTGCTACGCCCGCCTCCACCCGAGGGCGACCAACTGCAGGAAGCGCAAGTGCGGCCACACGAACCACGTCCGCCCGAAGAAGAAGCTGAAGTAGGCCGTGCCGCGTGCGACGTTGGCTGCGTGGAGGCCTCGTGTAAAGAGCAAATAAATTGAAAAAAGAGAATTGTGTCTGCTGTAATGTAGACGGAGAGCTGGGGTGTCGGTGAGCAGAACGGGAAACGACGTTGGTAGCTTTATGTGCGCTTACGTCTGATAATTAGGTACGTTATGTTGGCAGCAATTAGGCACAACCAAAAATGTAAGATTGCGAGAAATGGATTGTAAGATAGCAATTCTGTTTCAACACGCGTCACACCAGCGGATTCAGGTTTCTGCTACGTAATGATAATAGACGCGGGAGATCTTAGCGGTTGCTATGGGGCGCGTGCCGCGTGTAGGTCTGCGTGCGCGGTGAGGTGGAGTATTCGGGCTAGAGGACCTTTAATGAGAACATTCTGGCGTGGTGTATTTTAAACTTCTACCATAACATTCGCCGTCATACACTGAAGATTTTAGGAGAGACGGAACATTAGTGTCGAGTCTGAACAATGGCGCCGCGGCCTGACTATCGGCGTTTGTGTATGCTCAGCCTGAGCCCAGGCGTTCGAACTATAAGAGACCGATCTTCGTCGATAGCAAGGGCTCGAGTAAGTCGATTTCTTCTATGAAGTACACTCCATTGTAAGCTGTTCATGAACACGCCGTTTCGCATAAACTTACCGAATAAACATAAACATAAACCGAATGGAAATTCGTTCCTCCGCAGCATAACAAACTGAAATATCATGATTGTATAAGCAATTATTTTCATCACCAGTGACGCAAACTGAAATCCGGAGACAGACCAGTTCTTGGGTAGGTTAGATCAACCTTATTGGCCCAGCCCCCCCCCCCCCTCCCCCTCCCCGGAGTGAGTTCAGAAAGTGAATTCTGAATCCTGGTCCGCATTTTGTTATATCGGCGCGGTTTCACAAAGGGGGGGGGGGCACAAGGGCAAAATAGTAAAGATATGTGAAACCTAGCCTCATAAAACGCAAATGAAGTGGTAAACAAAGCGGTTTATCAAACGATCCGACTCACTTTGTTCTCAAGGGTGTATGCCGGAGCTCGCTCCAAATGAAAACTAAACTACCCCACCTGTCATGCATGTTTATTTATGGAATCTATGGATTACTGAGCATTGTGATGGAACAAAACTCTCGTCCATCGCAAATCAGACCTGTTCACTGGGCAATAGTGTTGGGGTTCAGCGACCGCATAGCCTCGCTCCTGCTGCCCTCACTGGTGTTTGGCTTCAGTGACTGCATAGCCTCATTATTTCTGCCGATACTCTGACAGTCTTCAACCTCAGCATGTTCGAGGCGACATGTTAATCATCCACATATTAATCACTTTTCGCTCGTCTGCACTCGGTTATCACGCGCGCATTTGATGCATTCATTTCGCAGCCCTAAGGCACTGTTTGAAAAGAGAGGATGCATTTCCATGGCAGACCTGTCTTCGATGCAAGATGAATCGATCGGTTAGTCATGAACTGCATGATAAGTCAAGCCAATCGATTATTTCGTATATAAATTGAATCATGAAACGAATCATTAACTTCTTAAGATTTGGTCTGACGCAAATAAAGTCGACACGCAGGTCAAATGGACCGTTTCTATGTTGTTCTTGTATCATGATTTGCCAACATTGCCTGTTTGTTGCGTTGAAATGAGATTGTTTGCAACTGCTTCGGGTTGCCACATGGTAACTATGGTAACTGAGAAGAAACCATGTAAAGTAACGATGGTAACTGAGATAAATGATCAATTAGAGTTCCGTCTTTTGGTTTTGAGTTGGTGACAGATGGGTATTTCCTTCATTAAGCGCGGAATGTTTGCATATTTTTGTTTCACTTACCCATGACTCAGTGAGTCAGGACACGAGCAAAGCAGGCGTCTTTAGGTAGGACACTGATGTAGAATAGCCGAACCGGTGGAAAATTGTGATGGGTTGAAGAAAGCGTACAAGCAATTCACTTGGCTTTCCCATTTTCATTTCTTATTTCATCCTGCATTCTCCTGATATCTGGTCCTTATTACTGAGTTTGATATTAAATGATGTCGATTAAAATGTGCCAAAATCAGCACGCAAACATTGAACGCCGGATGAACCACTGCTGAATCAATTCACACAGCGAGATGGTAATCTGAATCAGAACTAAATCATCGAACTTGAGGGTGAATCAACACAGAATTGATTCATGAGACAACCACAAATCAAATCAGACTTAATCATTCGACGATAGCCGTCCATCAACGGTGAATCGATTCTAAAAGAAGCTGAATCGAACTCAGGTCTGTTCAAGCGTGAGTTAGCGGTTTCAACACTTACATAGTTTGCGATTAGCTAGGCCCATGTTGCGAATTTTTACCAATTTTTCTTGAGTTGGACATGGTCGCGAGCAGCCGCTGCCATGCACGTACTGTGCAAGGCACGGCTACGTTCGATTCGAGACACCCACTCCGTTTTGGTTCGCAGCTCTATTTGGTGCCAAAAATGGTGACGCTCAAATTGTGACGTTATGTATTTTTTAAAAATTACACATTTCACTCCACAGATGCACGCAGTCATCACTCGGAATTGAGCGGTCATCTTGGCCGTAGAGCATGCTAAAAAGGTACGACGACGATGGCGCAACATGCTGTAAATCTATCACCTGACGCGATCCCATCTAGCCGGCCACCGTCACGATTGCACGAGCGAGCAGGTGCGTATGACTGTGAGATCGCACCGGCGACATGTCATTGAGTGTGCCGGGGGGGCAGAGTTTTGCTTCGCTGACCTTGGCCTCCGCCGCGGACGACGCGCCGAT